GTAAACCCGTGTAAAGTTAATGGGGTCAAAGATACACGTCAAATTATCTAAGTATGGACTAATCGGCCATTTTATCTGTCCACCTACATGACAATAAGAATTTGATCATTCTATTTGACGTTATCTTTTTATCACGTTGTTCATCAACACTTCTACTGCCAATCAATGATCAGATAATATTGTTGTGTTACGATATGCAAACAGGTGTTTAGCCATATACAAGTTGTAAGGTATTTTGGGTAATGACTGTACTTAAACCGATTTGTCGCTTCAATAAGAGATTTAAAATTATACATTATCAACTGTACCCTTCAACGCTTTGCTGTGTGTTATGGTTGCATTTATGAGAAATGAAGAACAAAACTGAAGCGAAATTTTGATAAAAGCAATCTTTGAAGTTTTGTATATCGTGTTCAAATTTTAGCTCAACCCGGGCAGAACCTTTTCAGTTATTGAAGTGTACACAAACTAATTTAACATTTTTAAATATAAGGATATAATAGTAAAAAATATTTATTTTTGATACGAACGTGGACGTATAGTCTCATTTATATTCCGAGTTTTTCTGTTAATTTCAATAACGAACGTGTCAATTTTCCCGATGATTGTATCTCGCATGTCGACAAGTGCGAGTTTCGTGATATTATGTGAGGTAAAATTCTGTAGGTAATTACAAAAATTAAGTATATTGATTGAAATCTTATAAATGAATGATATATGAAACAAAATATGAATCCATTAAATTTAAAAATTAAATATTCAATTTTACTATTAAAGCTTATCATTCTTTTTTTTTTAATTATTGTTAATTCTGTTCTAAATTTTAGTCTCCTTCGTTATCGATCCTTAGTACGGGTGCAAGTTTTCAAGGTAAACGTTGCTTACATATTTCTTATCTACACTTATGTGAGATAGGTTATTGTGAGATGTTTTTAAAATCTTTTTATGCCAAATCAAAACATTTTAAAAACATCAATGTGCTGCTGACTGTACCAACATGTTTGCTAAAGATTAAAGCCAAATAACCATTCATCAACTATAGAATTTTTAGAAGTTTGAAAAAAAATCTAGAGGCTGACAGTTAAAATTACAATCGAAAACAACCTACCTTTATAGTTGTTTACCTCGTAAACAACTATAAAGTAAAAAAAAAGTAGTTTTAATTATATAGAGATAACTTTTTATACTAAAGAGAATATCGCCTTTTAGGACCTGATTATCTCTTGGGGAACTTTGTATCGATCGTCAGTAATTTAACGAGAGGTGTTAAGAGTTACGACTTCTCTTGTCCAATACTTGGAGATGTTCGATTGTACTTTTATGTTCTCTATAAAACTACGTTTTACTTTGTGGAAACAAGAATATTCGACCGCTTTGTTATTTAAATATACGAGGGCGGGAGGGAGAAGATTTCTACTTATAGAATGTTTTTCAAGAAAAACAATCTATAAGTAGTAAATTTATTCACATAGATAATAGGATATCGCTTATATGTTACGCTCAAAGACGAAAAAAGTTAATTAAGCGAAAACACAGTGTGGTCGTCACTCTGTTGTGGTCACTCCACAACGCGTCGTGAGCTGTGGTCACTCCACAACGCGCGCTTTAGTACCTTATTCATTTCTTTAGTATCTTGCTATCGTAAAACATGATAGACATGACACAACTTTCGTAATGCAGCCTTTCTGTGATAATCGTAACGTATCATCAGGGTTTTAATAGGAACTATAAACATACATTTTTGGAATTGCATGAAATCTTACTACCCCTTATTCAATTAATATCAGTGCTTTGAGTTAACAATATGTAACAACTTGATCAATATGCTACTAACCGTAACTATAATAATTTATTGATCAAATATGTGTCTTATTTTGTACATTTTGAGATCAACTAGTGAATAATTTTTGAATTATGCGAATAAGATCCTTTTACTATACATAATTTTTTTATTATTATGTTATATTTTGTATTTTTTAATTCATTAGCATTTGAAATATGTTTTCTTTTGTTTCAGGTAAATGTTTTACTCTATAAATCAAGATATTTTCGAAGTAAAAGTCATTTGTCTTAAGGCAAAGGAAGGCGATGGAAGTCTATTAAACCAAACAATATGACTTAATTTATTATTTTGGGTAGCTTTGGTGATCATATACTTTATCATTAATTATTATTAAAGCATTAGAATAAGATAGATAGATAGATAGATAACTCTTTATTTGCACACTAAATTACAGAGTTACAAGAAAGGAACCGACTATAAGGAAAAATACTAATTAAATCACTTGTATTTTTATTAACAACTAGCTATTGCCAGCGGCATCACTTCGCTTATTTCTAACTTTGAAAATGACGAACTACCCCCTTCTTCTTCTGCCTTTAGTCACACTCAAATATACCTCCTAAGGGATGAAATTTACAAAAATCCTTCCTTAGTGAGTGCCTACAACATAAAAATCATCAGCTGCTAAAGTTTCAAATTTGTATCCCTGTAGGCTCTGTGTCGATGAATCAGTCGGCCAGGACAATTTTATATGCTGTAAAACAGCTGTATAATCAGCTGAATTTATTTATATCTTACTTATAATATAATTCCGTGACGCAGTGGTAACGTATGCGACTGCTCTGCTGAGGTCTCGGTTTCGTTCCCATGTCGGACCAAATGTTTGTCTGATCTGCGAATATTTGTTTTGGAGTTTGGGTGTTTTCTATTTATAATGTGTATGTATTTACAAAAAGAAAAGTATATAAGTATTCTATCAGTCAAACTAGCTTTCATAGCTCTGCTAAGTTTGAAACTAGGTGTTGTGTCAGATGTCCGAAAATATTATTATTATAATTGGTTGGAGGACTCGGAATCGCAATAGAGTTCTAGTTACAAGTTTATGACCCTGGCCTACTCAAGCTAGCGTTAACATTTTCCAAATCATCCGAATGAGCAATAACAGTTCCCTAATATTCCTGACCTTTTTATTTCCCTTGTCTTTCAATTTGGAACCGATTTTCACATCTAATCTTTCAAGTGATTTTGTTATAGGAATAAGCATTGGGACAAGCTTATTGCCCTACACAAGGAGGACTAAAATTACAGATTATGACAAAATTTGGCAGATTATTTCGTGAGTGTAGGCTCTATGTAATTATAACTAAGTTTTATAAATTTATTTTAATAATTATTAAAAGAAAAGAAGTTTGAGTTATGGGGTATTTCGTATTTAAACATCTGTATTTAAAAATACTAGTAGATAAAGTTATCCCAAGTATAAGCTCTTTCAATGTACTCATTGTTTAATGTTCGAGTAGTCGGTGCTGCGCAGTGCCCTTATAAATTACAGTAGTTTTAGTTTTCTACATTGTTTGTAATTTAGGAAAATATCCTGTGTCGCGGGGGACTTTACAAACATACATGAAACGGACACAAAGAACACCCAGACTCAGAACAATAATTTGTGGATCACACAAAGTGTCGTCCCATGTGGGGTTTGAACCCACAACACTCGGCGTAGTAGGAAGCGGCGGTGCTGTTGTCCTGTAGACTTTGCTTACGACACCCACTGGATGAATAGAGATGTTAACACTCCGTATTCTTAATCTGTCACCACATGGACGTGAAAGAAACATTAATACTATTCAGTGATTTGAAATAAATAACAGCAGTCTTTCGGAACAATAATTATCATTCTCATATATGTTTATTAATTGTTTGGAGAGTAAATTCTGTACATCCTGATTAGCAATTTTACAATACAATAAGAGAATTATCAAAATTAAATCTTAAGTTCTAAATCTAGATATACTGACTGACTGACTGCACGGATGATGTATATAAATATTTTTCTTTCTACATAGAATATAGTCTACAATTATAACTCATGAACGGGATATAACGCCATTTATAAGTATTTAGATATACTTTGAACTACATGACAGTTGGTCCAGGTTGCACTGGCTGTGGTCGCAGCCGGAGTCTGCCTGTTTCCACGATTAGTGTGATACTTACATTGAAATTCTATATAATATTTCTCACCAGTGATGTGAGGGATTTATTTTAGTTCTAATCGTCTTTCTAGTACAAAGATCATGTCTTAAATATTTATAATATCTTGATTTTGAGGTCTATTGTACACAATAAAGTATGTATTCGTAATATCTCAATTATTATAACGTTGAAGAGGTTTGCGTAATCTGTTATTAGTGCTCTGTGGATTACGACTGTTATCAAATCGATAAAATACTGATACTAATAATATCGATAACGTTTTGTTATAAGAAGATTTTTATGTTATAATCGTTATCGTTCGAGTACCGATGACCTACGATTGTGCCGATGATGTACGTTTTTACTTTCTATGATTGAAGGAACGACGATTAGTGGTTATAATGGCTTAAGTTTTGCTATCTTTAATGACTGTTTACTATAAGATATTTATCACAAATGGATTTAGCAGACACAGCATGCTTAAAAGCTAGGATATAATGCAAATACCGTCACAAGAGACGTAGTTTTACTTTCATAGTTATAAAAATACATTAAATGCTGCAAGCCACCACGATCAGGGTTTTCATGGTGGCTTGCAGCATTTAATTTATTTTGATTGTATACGCTTAGCTTTCCTTTGAATTAACCCTTTTAGGTGGGGAAAAACTAAAATGGAAGAACGTATTCCAGTACCTCGTACCTCAAATAAGAATTGATAAAGAAAGCTATGAAAATGTTAGAAATGTGAGGTATATCACGTTTTACTAGTTTGAGAAGGGTTTATTTTGTATTTTATATATTTACGCAATGCTTGATGACAAATCATTGCGTAAATATATTTGATTAAAAAATAAACCAAATCGGTTAGATAGAACAACCGTGAAGACTAGAAATAGACTTCATCTTTTCCTTTAATATACTCTTAATTGGTATTTTGAATACAAAAATACAGAATGTCTCCTAAATTGTCGAATTCATAAACGTTCACGTATTATTCTCACATTGGAATTAATCTTTAATCATGGTAAATAGAGTAATCTTTTACTATAGTGGAGTAGTGAACCTTCCTTTTAAATAATAATATGTCTATTTCTCGACATACAGTATTAATACGTACAGCGGAATTATGTCACGTTCAGAGGCTTCATAAGTTACGGTGTGAGGGCTGAGAATAAGCAATTAACAACCGCTTAGTTTAGCTTATGATTAATAATGTTACTTAAGTGTTACTTTTTATATCTGATCTTGTAAAAGTGAGTTTTAATCAAAGTGGTTTAATTTGGAATATTTAAATTGAATCTTTTGTTTTCCTCTAATTTCATTGTTTTCTGTAGTTGTTGTTTCTCTGTAGCTCGGGTACAGTATCTTATTTGTGATTGAACGGATGTCTGAATTTTTCCGTTGCTTTTGCATTGAGTGAGTGAGGTAACTGGAGCCCACTCCTACCCCTCCCCTTATTTCGGGAGTGGGGAAGGGGCATTCAAAGGCTGGCAGCCCACAGGTAACTCTTGGTTTTTAGGTGTCCATGGTCGGTAGTAGTAATTTATCATTTACCATCAGGTAATCCGTGTGCTGGTTTGGCCTCTTTTCCAAAAAAGAAAAAAAGCAATGTTTTTTTGGAGTTTACTCCTTAAGAGTCTATTTTAATACAAGGCACTCGGTATGAAAACCTCGTTAAGTTCTTAGGCACAACCTATCGTGTATCGTTAAGTTCTTAGGCACCTTTCACATGTGTATGTATAACTTGTATACTTGTGTGCAGCCGAATCGTTCTTAACGAGTAAACTTACGTCGTGCGTCGGAGCTGACACATACACTTATTCTTACCCTTGGCAATTTGTATGCACTATCACTTAAACTATTGTATTTTACATTTGCATGTATAATACTAATAGTTTAATTGATAAAAGAATTAGTAGTCAAGATTTATTTAGAGATTAATTTTATTAGAAGTTCTGTATATCAGCTAAAGTATAAATTTATTGTTTCAGTGTTGTTTTCACTATGAATTGAAATAAAATTCCACAGATTTGAGAAGACAATTAGCTACTGGGCTTTCAAAGGATAGGGGCGGGCTTCCAACTAGTAAAAGTGAGGGTAAGAACGAAATGGTATTTGAAAGACACTGACATAAATGTATATATTTACAGAACCATGAAATAAGCTTCATTACATATTCCGGTACTTCGAAAATTGGTTCTCAAGTATTGCAATTGTGAGTCTGACTTTGTAAATCAGTCATTTTCCCAGACTAACCTAGTATTTTCGTAGAAGTCTATTCATCTTTTTAGCAATATCACTAGATAATAGCAAATAAATCAGTTCTATCAGTCAATCTAGCTTTCGTAGTACAAGCTCTGCTTAGTATAAAACTTAGGTAGCGCTGTGTGTTGGATGTCCGAAATATTATTATTATATAAAAATGTTAAGTTGGTTTGTGTATGCTTTAAAAACTCTTTTTTTTTTGCATCCTCCATTAAATTAGCCGCCACAAAATGGCGGATAATTTATTTTTTCACAAATTTAGATGTGTCGGGGATTTTTAATTATTTTTTTTAATAAATATTAGGTAAGTGCAATACCAGGGCAACGAGCGTGCGCATTATTGATTAATTAATGTCTAATTATAAAAAAACTTAGAAATGTTAATTTTACCCGCTGGCCAAGGAAGGTTATGTTCTATCTTGTCTCATCAACGCAACCACAATGTGCCATATCGAAGCGTGACATGGTACAGCTATATAAAATAAAATATATGCTTTGTTACATGTAAATTAATTAATTAATTTTAGTGTGAAATAGCTTTTTTCATAAGACTTCACAATTAGCGTCAAAGTGACGTCAACTAGCATTTATTTAATTATAATCGCGTGTTAGATTTGATTATGGTCGAGGCATTTGATACATGTAGTAGTAACATGTAATAAAAATAACATGCTATTTGTCTAACAAGGAATTATAACTATAACTGTTAAGCGAATTAAAGAAGAGAGCGAGGTTCTGAATTGTTTTTTTTTAAATATTTGTTGCGCTATCGTTATTCATAAGCGATTTGGAAAATTTCCCCTTTGTATTTGGAAGGGCAGTCTTTCGATTCGGTCCCATTTAAATAAAAAAAATACCCTTTTAAGAGTATAGTTAAAGAATAAAGAATATAGTTTGATTACAATTAATTAATCTTGAAGTAGGCGCATAAAAGCCAGTAATGTTTTTCAAAAGTTAATTTGTGCATAGATGTTTAATTAGCATGCATTTTTCATACCTTTATCCACGAGTTTAATTCATAAAGACACGAGGGATGTTTAATCTTAACTTTAATCCCACGTTATAGAGGCGAGGGGGGCAATCCCAACAAAAAATCTTATAATTATTTTCTAAAAACGGGATTGGAAATTTGTATTTTTGTATGCGGAAGTTTTAACACGCACATACAGATGCTGATGTGGTTTTTAGACTCACATTTGCAAATGTTTATCCGGTTGCGGATGACAGTATTTTTAAATGATTAAATGCCTATCGCTTCAGACTTAATTAGTAGGAATGTCAGTAGTGTACGACATAAAATTAAAATTTCTTTATCAATTATTTAATTTTGACAGCCTGTTTTCCAAGGTGGCAACATTAATCAAACTCGAATATTCCCTTAACACAATGAATCATTCAATGCATGTTATAAGGTCGTATGTTAGGTGCTCCACAATACAGTATGATTAATTTACAATAAACATGTCAAACAAAATACTTAAGCCTAACACTTGAATGACAAGTCTTGCCACTTTCAAATTTCTGTTAATCAATTATTTAGGCAACATTCGCTATCTACCATCAACTTAGTAACAGCATAAAAGTTCCGCAATTATTGCATTGAATGCGGAAGCGAAAAATATATCGTAATCCAATTACTGTTTGATAATAGTTGTTTGCAATCTGCAGAAATCTGCAATACCTCTAAACCAACGCAGTGTCATATGATTGCTCGACGACTTATGTCTTCACGGATGGCGTAGTGGTTTAAGCGGTCGTCACGCCGCTTCCTACTACGCCGAGTGTGGTGGGTTCAAAGCCCACATGGGACGACACTTTGTGTGATCCACAAATTGTTGTTCTGAGTTTGGGTATTCTTTGTGTCCGTCTCATGTATGTTTGTAAAGTCTGTATTTAAATAACAAAAAATAACTTATTCACGATGCCACAGATACCAACTAGAGCTTTGAATCTAAATGTATTCTACATTGTATTGATTGCATGTTTTCATAGTCAACTTCATACAAAAGAACAATGCCTAGTACAGAAATCATCTTTAAATCACAACATAAAGAAAACAAGACGTGAAAACAGCTGTGCATAATCGATAAATCGCCCGCATTTATCAGTAACTAGCTATATTCCAGATATTGTGAAGTATTTCTTTTCTATAGAAAAAAATGTGAGATTCGATTTTACTTACATTTGTAGTTACCAAAGTTAACAATGTATCGGAAATCTTTTGTCCGAATAATACCGGAACCTGAAGCCCTCGATTTTTTTTAAGCGATTCTTTTACTTGACCTTCCGATAACGATAAATGTAGCAAAATTGCTATTATAATCGGAAAATCTTAACTAATAATAAAATAAACATGTTACTTTTCTTGAAATATATTTAAGGAAAATGTCGCGAAGTCCGAACATTTCGGCGTTTGATTAATATTTTAAGATAAATGTTTTCCCTTCAGGTATTTTATATTTACCATAAAATAGGGAATTTGAGGCCACTTTAAATTTTTGGGTGGTTTTTCTTATTAGGTTGCGAGAGCCCAGGTCGAAAATTCTACTGCATTTTTAAATTAAATTTCACCCGCTAAGGATTATTTATCACTCATATTAACGCTTTTACTGATATTCGGCACTGTCAAACTACAGTGTCAGCGATTGGGCTATTCATTTTAATTTAAAGTCCTATATAGGAGTTTTCGAACTCAAATGTGCTTGTCAAACCTTTGTACGGCCGCAGGAACATTTTTTAAGGGACGTTTGGATGAAACATGATTAACAGCTACAGGTAAAAGCCGGAAGGCTTGGCCATTAACGAGTGTAGGAGCAATAACTCACAGCAAATTGCTCTGCACGGTGGCGAAGGTCGTTGACCTAGAGGCTTTTGCTGCAGTACGTAAACGAAAATAGACTAAGGATCTAAGCTAGTGCATGTTAGTTAAGTGTCATATTTCTGTGAAGCTACGTTATGTGTGTTTGTCTGTGTTTTAGAAGCCATAGTCTAAGATCTGATTGTTTTTTGTATCCCAGGATCGTTTTTATTTTTCTGCGCAGCGACCAATTTTATTAAAATTTTGGATTTGCGCTAAGTGTAACTTTGCAAAAGGTTTTGGCTTGATTATTTTCTTACCAGCCGTCTGTGTGACGGCAACTCCCCTTGAGAATAATAAAATGTTTGTTAGCTTACACTGTGAAAGCTAAATTGACTGATAGAATGCTTTTTTTATAAATACATGCATATTATACACAGAAAACACCCAAACTGTAAAACAAAATATTTGCAGATCATACACACATTTTTGGTCGGACCTTGGAATCGAACCCGTGACCTCAGCACAGCAGTCGCATACGCTATCACCGCACCACCGAGGCAATCAAACTTTTTCGAATAAAACTAAGGAAGATCATAAATTGGGGTAAAGAAAATTGTTAGGAATAAAGAAAGTGGGACTAAGACTGCTGCAGCTGTGTATTTGTTTAAGGAATCTTTATAAAAAGACTTCGATTTTTTGGCATATCACTTCCGGTCAGAAATTTATTAAATTTCGATCATATTTATGCCATAGTTGTATATTATTAAAAAACAATCAAACTTGTCGATGGTTAAAATATATATTAATTAGTCGGTACGATTTTTTTTTTCATTAGATTAGTTTGTTATTATTATTAAAAATTGGGGAACTAAATTTTGTTTTGACGATAGGCAAGTATGACGTCAAAATTTGTTGTTTCATAGAAGACTCTATAGAACCTACTATTTTATTTTGACATTCAACTATATTATATCAATTATTGAAACACTGCTCCTTATTTGAAATGTGTTTTATTTAAAATTTCATTTCATTTCATTTCACGTCTACTGCTGAGTGAGTTATTAAAGGGGTTATGCCAAGTTCAATATCATCAACTTTCATAGTGCACTACTGGACATAGGCCTCTCCTTCGATAGGCCCCGCGGGCCAGACGGGTTGGTATAGGGTTGGTTTCAGCTTTTCCTTCCCTTTGCAGTGCTGTTGTCTTGGGTAGTTTGCTCCCTTAGTCGGCTCTTACGACACCCACGCGATGAAGAAGGGTGTTGACCCTCCGTATTCTTAATCTGTCACCACCAATCTGTCTACACCATGCTGTTTAGAAAAAAAAACTGCATCATATTGACGTCTTGTCGTCGTCTCAACATACTGTAAGGAGATTGACTGGACCGGACTTGAACCGACTAAAAGAAAAAAACAGTGTTTATTCCCTAGGTCTTGTTGCTGGAGCCTCAGGTGTACCCTAGAATAGAAATCCCTCTAAAACCAAGAAGATTTGGCCACCTGCTTAGCAAGGCGACTCCACTACGATGTCTGAAGGGCGAGGAGGATGATGTGTTGAGAGCCCATCTTAATGAGAGGGTCGTAACACTGCGTCGTCTTGGGTCTTCTGCTAGGGTAACCTTCAGGCAAGAGCTCTGCGAGGTCTGAAATCGTCGCTCTATGGGCTAATATAAGTTTAACAAAATTAATGAAGACTTGTCAGTTACGTAGCTTATCCGCATAATATTTACCTGAATAATTAATTTCTATTGAGGCGATGTTAGAAATTAATTATTAGTAAACTTTGAAAATTCAGAGGTGCGTGTTCTGGAAGTGAATGCTATTATTTTAATGCACGCCATAGCTGATCTACTGTTATTGCAATATTGTATATTTATATCGAGGGTTAATACATAGGGAAGTTAGTCTGTAGTTTGTGTTAGAGGACTTGGATTAGATGCCCGAAATAATTGTGTGATGAGCACGATAATTCTTTGTCTGTGTGTAATTTATCTATAACATGTATGTATTTAGTGATCTTTTTCAAATTTATTAAACACTTAAATGATATAACATAAATTAATTTTATAATTGTTAAGAATGTCGATAATATGTTTATCAGCAGTTTGGTCTCCAACTGTATTAATTATTCCAAAATTATCACCTATAAAAAAAATGATGAAAGAAAAGAAAAAATGAAAAAAAAGCTTTAAGCATTATAAAAATTAAGTTATTGTTTTCAATTTTTAATATTTTAATCAGACAATGGCGGTTAGCTTCAACCCATGTCAACTCTGACATTTTAGACGGATGATACAAATTATAAATGAGGGTAACAGCTCGTCTTTGTTACAGTTTTTGATTTAATGGCGAATATTAAGCGAAAGATCCGAAATATGAGATTAATGAGAAATAACGAATATATTTAAAAGGTTTATAAAATATTGCATCTTAAAAAATATATTTTTGAAAGATATTTACGTGATTCATATTATTTGAAATGCAGAGTTGAAAGGATGCAGAGCTATGCTATTGAACATTCTGGTGAGGTAATTTACCTCACCAGAATGTTAACCTGTTAACCTGTTAACAATACAAAATTTGTTCGGATTTTAAAATTAAAATAAATAGTTATGAGTGCATAGTTTCATAATTATTCCACTGGATTAATTTTGATGTCAACTATGGCCGCTTTAATTTTTTTAAATATAAAAAGTTTATTGAAGTTAAAATTGAGTTTTATAATTAAATATACTTTCATGGCAAAGGGATCATATTTTCCTCCAAAGTTGTAAACTTTTTTAATTATAAAGAGTAGAGATAATTGAAAATGTTTGTTCCTTTATTTATACTGTGTAGAGCAACAGATATCGCATTATAAATATAATTTAGTTAAATGTCCTCATTCTGGTCGCAAAAGTAAAAATAAAATCCTCCTACAAGAACTAGTCATATTTGTTCCTAATATCTTTTATCTCTGCATCACTTGCTTGGTATCTCATAATTTAATAATATGTGCAAACTATTTTATAGATAAATAAACACCGAAATAAACACCACAATTGGTTTATTGTAATCAGAATTCCAATAAAATCATAATGGAAATGCCGAAGAAAAACCAGCACTTTTGTAACAGCTATCCATTTTCAGTACATGCTCTTTAGAATGGTTTAAATAGAGTTCGAAGCACCGCAGTTCGCTCGTTTAGAAAATGTATTCTCCCGATCTGCTTGCCTCCCTTCTTCAATCGATTGAGATCCTTGCATATGTAGTCCTGTTGACCTCAGGTTCTTTTAAAAGTGCTCTCTTTTATTGACTATGACTGAACTTTTAACTTTTAAACTTTTGCTTTCCGTGATATATAATTATGTTCGTATATGGGAATTAACGCTATTATGTAACATGTGCTATATCACATCTATAATTTGGAATGAAAACATTTATACAACGCTTTAAATATACATATCAGTTTCCTTACTCTTCCAAATAAAAGTACTAGATTAGTCGGATAGTAGTAATTGATGTAACCTGGGTTTTAATTATTTTTTTCGTTAGATTACAGTGTCAGAAATAACATCCTGAGTTTAAAGGCCGGTTTTTTGCAGGCTTGCACGAAAAGAGTAAAAGATTAAAAAAAAAAAGTCAAATGAGAAAAAGATACGCAATAAAAAGACAAATCAAAGCAGTTTTTTTGAGCCCCATTCGGTTCAGTAGTTTTTGAATAAATTGCAAAATTTTAATATGAAAATCTAATTCTATTCGGCTAAATGTTTTCTTTGGTTCTTGTGTTTGATTTCAAGTGAATTCGGTATTTAATTAAGTTCGGTAGTAATTTAATCAAATATTGCAAATAACTTGTTACATGATAACCGAAACACTTATTTTCGCAGTTTAAATAATTAAAGTCAGTCTTGGGTACTAATCAATAAATACAAAAGAGGTAAGTAACCCTAGAAACGTAGAATGAAAGAGAACCACTCTCTATTCTCATTTACTCTCATTACCTATCACAATCTGTACACTTTCACATAAGTTCTTCATCGCATTCTTCACTCCAACGTTGGGATTGACTTTGATAGGAGACAACAATACTAACTGAGTGTACTGAAATTGTTTCTGAAGAACCTGAAACATCATTGAAATACAGATCGTCAGAACGTTTTCATAATTATTTCTCACAGTTTAGTATAATAAAAATTATTAGTTATTTTGTTGCTTTACTGTTTTGCCGCCACATTTAAATATCGTCTATGAAGATAGATAATACTGTAAGCCCATAAAGCTTCGATGACTCTGTTCACAGTTGATACGACATAAAGGCACATTAGCATAAAGCTGTCTTCTCCATTCGGTTCAATAGGATTTATGTGGTTCCTTATAAACAAAACATAGCTACTGAGTGTGTGAGAGAGTGGGTACGAAATAATGTTATAAGGAAGACAGTCGTTCTATCTAAATGTGCCCGGGGAAATCACAGAGCTAACAATAGATGAATGAATAAAGTTTTTAGAATTGTGTTGGGTTGTTTATTCGGTTCTAACTTCATTAATATTATGGAAATAAAAATAATTTCAAATGCCGCCGAGCTTAATGAATTAGAATCTAAGATTTGTTTGTAAATTATGTTGAATCTAAAGTTTTTTGTTCTTGTTTAACTTTCTCGATAGACTTTGATTAGGTGATTTCCAGTGTTTTTTTTTAATCGACAAAGTAAATTTATGAGGCTGTAGCTACGATTGTACTTAATGTAAAAAAAATGTGTCGTATTTTAAGATTTTACTTGTTTCTCTAGCAAACTAACTAACTAAGCATCGAAACAAATCTTGGCTGTTGATTTTAACTTACTTCTAATTATAGCATCAAAACAAGACTGTATAATTTATATGTAATTTTGATGACAGTACTGTAATTCAGCATCATGGAGTTGATACAAGGGCTGCTATTTATGTATCCGGAACTGGCCAGTTACAGAACAATATTAAAAAAGTAATTATAACATTAAAAACTTTAACTCTTAAGCTGAATAATACAATTTGTTTCATGTAGCTGTCATTTGTTTATCCTTTGTGGCGTCATTTTGAAAATTGCGTCTCTTTATCACTGTGTATTTTACTCGTGAATTTTTTTGTGCTTTGATTTATTACGATTTTCAGCGAGGGCTAACTCACAAACAGTGCATCGATCATCCACTTTGACTTTTGGGGACGAAGCACCATCAAAAACAACATTGCATCACTGGTTTAGCAAGTTTAATCGAGGGCGGTCTGTGCTCACGGACGAATTTAAAGAAGGTCGCCCTAAATCGGTTGTTGTACTTTAAAATATTGATGTAAGAGGCATCTCTTAGAATACCTATGGCGAGTATATAAAATTTACGACACAAACTTTAGCTGTAAAAAAATTGTTTACGTTGGAAGCCGCACAACTTGAGAATTTTCAAAAATCGGGCTCGTCTCGATTGGTGTAAAAAAATGTTACAAAAGCACAATCAGGGTGCGTCAAAATCTATTTATGATATCTACACAGGTGATGAATCTTGAATATATGCGTATAATCCTGAAACTAAATAACAATCAACGGTTTGGGTGTTCCAAGATAAGCCGAATCCAAAAAAAGTCACTCGTTCAAAAAGCACTTTAAAGCAAATGGTCACTTGTTTTTTTGGTATAAATGGACATGAGGTTACAGTGCCAATAGAGGATGGTAAAACGGTTATTTCTGAATGGTACACGAGAATTTGTTTGATAGAAATCTTTGAAGAAATAAGATAGAATAACCGACAACGCAGAATCCTTCTTCGTCACGACAATGCTAGCTGCCAAACATCGGCCGAAATAATTCAGTATTTAGAAGATCAAAAGGTCGAATTAACGGGTCATCCGCCATGCAGCCAGTATGCAAAAATGAATTGATCATCATGGCGAATATTTTTAAAATCAATTAAACTGTAATACTGTATCTTTGTTTCACTTTGTTATTCCGCTATACATAAATTGCAACCCTCGTATGATGAAGAAGCCAAGTAAGTGTAGTGTAGTTGTTGATTGTAGAACTTACAGTAGCTAATAATAAACCCCACCCCAAAAAAGTTTGAGTTTATATAATTTGTTTTGACAGGCTTAGTAAGATTTTAGATTTTTACTTCAAGTTCTCAAGTTAATTACTAATACTTATTATTACAACAATATATTGCTAAAAGGCGTATTGCCTATATGATGAAAATACGGACTGTATCTGTAAACACTTGGACACCAATTTTATTTCTTGTAACGGAACGAATGTTATATGTATTAGGTGTGTTAATACAAGAACAAGGCAGAAGAGTTTTCTTAAATAATTGCACTAATCTTTAGAACTATCAATTACATTTGAATTGTCTTTTTGTAATTAATAGCCTCCCACGATTGTAATTTGCTTTTATGGATGTTTCTGAACTCCATAAGCTCTTTCATAGATATATTTATATAAGGATTATAGCAGCCCGCATATAGCATAGAGATAGATTATAGCAATTCTAGCCTCCGAAATTGTAGATTTACACTCTAATGCTCTCTAATGTATTTTATGGCCAACCTCAGGGATTTCTTTGAGGGAGCCCCTACTTAGTTATTTGCTTACGTTATATCGAGTATAAAGTAATATAGTTTTTATAAGGCATTGACTTCGCA